GGGGAGGAGGGCAACCAAGTGTAATTTTAAATTTTTACGGTTTATAGGAAAATTCTATTTATTTCGAGAAAAGTTAATTAATAATATAATTTATTTAATTAACCTTTCTTGTAATTTACGTGGTTCGAACCATTAAAAACTGAATTGTGGAGATTTAAAATTAAATATAAATATAAGTATTATTATTATTTTTTTTTAGTTCAGAACACTTGAAACGGCCACTTGTTATATTGGAGATTTTCACTACATGGAAAAATACCTTAAAAAATTACGTAATGCGTTACAATAAAAGGAAAGATTTATTATGGTTTTGTTACTACCTAACACTGGAACAATATTCTCTGTAAGTCTATACTAAAATGTGGTGAACAAATTGTTAATTTTTTCCCCCGAGATTGTATATGAATTCATGTTAATATTAATGAGTACTGAATAGGCAACCGTTTTAACAATCTAGGTGGGGGAATACACGAGCGCTTCCCCGCAGTAAGGCATTTGGCTGGCTTATCATAATATAATAACGTTATCATAGAGTTAATCTGCGACAACAGTTAAATTTTTTCTGATCCTATCCAAAAATAATAATTATAATAAAATTGGTTTTTTACGCTTAATTCAAGTATTTGAAAAAATTTCCGGAAACTTCAAAAGTTATGGCAATTCAAAGTTGTCAATATTAAAAAATATAGGCACTTTTGAATGGACGAGCGAGTGACCACGCTGGGAATAAATATACTTAGAAACAATATTGAGGAAAACCGAGGTTTACCTGAGGTAGGTCACACAGCAAATAGGGGGATATTTTCGATTTGCGGAGCGGAGCGACGGCGCCGAGGAGCGTAGCGACGAGTGCCGATACACGCGTAAACGCTGCAACTTTGATATGCCATAACTTGTGAGAACAGTGAGTTTCCGGAAATTTTTGTAACTGGGAAACGGTGTAGCTGGTGGTACGCAAATTTAAAAAGTTTGAGAACCGCTGGTCTAAAGCCCTGTTCACACGATCAAATAATTTGTCAAATATTTGACATTCGTCAAACTCCAAATATTGTAGAACCATTTCTAAAATATTTGAAGTTTGACATACATCAAATATTTGATAAATTATTTGATCGTGTGAACGGGGCTTAAAGAAACTAAAAATTATACAATACAAACTATTACAAATAATACATTTCTATGTATCAAAATTAGAAAATTCTGAATTTTACATATATTTATTTATATATTTTTTAATTCTATGTTAACGTTATTATTTGATAAGCCAGCCAAATGCCTTACTGCGGGGAAGCGATCGTGGGAATACTATTATAATGATTTACCGATAAACAAAGGTTTATCTCTGTTTGGTAGACGTAGATGGTCGCAGCCATAGAAGCTTAAGACTGATACGCGTTATCACTAGTATATATATTAATGAATTTAATATGAGCCTCATATTATGTGATATTATGTTATATCATATTATGAGGGACGGCGCGTACGCAGTCCCAGCTACCAAAAATTCTGCGCCCGAGGTATCCACATTAGGGATACTCGCAGGGGTCAACCGATTCCATGTGCAATGAATCGGCCTCGCCCTGGAGGAACCGCCTCTATGATCACGGTTGACCTCCACGCCAGGTAAGTATGCTGGATGCTCGATTCCAGAGCCTTTATACACTGTACACCAGCCTCCCCAAAACGGTACATACCTATAAAATACATGCTACCATTTCAGTCGTCCGAAGGTAATGGTAACCCGCGACCGGTTCAACAGTGTTTCAAAAACTTTTGGTAAATAATGGAAACGTTTGTGGAGCTTTTCAGACACTGTTACGTGCATCGATGGTTCGATAAGCGCCAGCCGATAACGTCAGTCGATATGTGGCGCTTCCTATGAACGAAATACTGCAGACGCATTTTCGTTCTTTTTTTCAGCGCCTGGTGGCTCAATCGGTGAACCTCGGTGCCAGTACTTGATCCCACAACACTGGCTTTTTATGTAATTAAATATTATATTGTTGATTCGCAAATCAACTGCTATTGCATTGCAAACTAAATTCCTTAGTCGGTAGTCCGTACTCCGTATCATAGTCCGTTATATATCAATCCGCCTTGTCTGTGTGACTAGATTAAAATGTGTAGTTATTTTTTCATAAAATAATACATTTAACATAATATTTGAACTTGGTATCAATCATTTAATTGTCGCAATGTCGATTTCATAGTTAAAACAATAGAACGCCATACAAAACACTCATAGAGACTACATTATTTATTGGTACGTAAGTTAAATAAATGGCACTTTTGCATTGTTTAAGTTTGTGGAATGCAGAATAATAATAAAAACCATTAACAATTCTGTAGTACCTACCTACCGTAGAACCTTAGATAATTTACATTGTATATGATCTAAGCATTGTCGCATAGAACAATACCGTAATACCGTCTTTATATTTACAATAATCTATGGCCTAAGGGTAATTTTAAATTTCTCATTTGTAGTTGAAAACGAAAAGTTCTCATCACAATATTATCTTTGAGTTTGAACTCTTCGTTCTTCAACATGAATCATGATTATTCAATTCACTAGTAAGATAAAATTAATATTCACTAAAATCTTTTAGATTCTGAGTGAAACGATGAATGTATTTTTAAATTAAAATTCAACATTAATTTACAATTTAAAAACCGATATTAATATGATGATTTATGGGCAACACGAATTAACACGATATGTCACATAATGCATGATGGGTACCTACAACTAATATACAACTGTGAAGGTACTATACAGTATACAAGCATATTGCATAAACGATAAACCCATATTAAGTTGAACATTACACATAATATTACATAACATTAAATCTATTCTGTCATTATGTAGTAAAATAATTTTGTTATGGATGGTAGGTACACAATCGAAACACTCAAAAAAAAATAACATAGTTTTAACTGTTTATTGTTTAACTTATAAGTATCTAATTATTAGTTTTCATTCTTGGACTTTACAATATGTCTGGACACGATGTACTTTGTAGATAGTACTATCAACCACGATTTAACTATTTAAGATAGTTTTCTTAAACCGTGCTATCAACCGACCAGTCATATACTCATATACTACCTGTATAGCTGCTCATCAACATTTTCTCCAACGTTCATGAACATCACGATCACGGACTAAGATCACGATTTAAGTACATAAAAAAGAGATTAAATAACGTTCATGTACCTGCTCATTGAGGCGAACAACCAGAGGGCGCATGTGAGCAGGGGTGCCTGCTTCATAGAACTTAGCACGGACTAAGATACAATTAGTCAGTGGAACTTAGTTTATAGCCTTATAGGTCTATGATTCTGTATCGTGGCTATAGTTATATATTTATATAATATTGATAATGCGTAAATGAAGAAACTTAGGGTAAATGGTCATCTATGATATTCTCAAACTGTTTGCCATACGTCCCAGAAAACCGCAACTTTCATCGGATTTTGACTTGGGGTACCGGTGTCCCGAAAATTAATTTCGGGACACTTTATGCAAGGCTGGATCAAGGAGTGTGGCTAGGAGGGCTACAGCCCCGGGCCGCAAGTTGAAAGGGGCCACAATGTGTCAACTCATTTTTTACAAAACATTATTATAACTTTTAAATTTTAAATTTATATCATATGAAAATGGACTTTAGATACTTTATTACCGACACACAAGACCCAATTTTAGGGATAGTGGTCATCGCGTTCACTCACAACTCGTTATCGTCGTTATCGAACGTGCTTCCGGACGATTCGCAGACGCGATAAATATAATCGTTCGATGAACAACAAACACGTACTTTCGCAGGTGGCAGTTGTAGTGATTATGTATTTATGTTAGCTTAGACCGCGGAAACTCACTTGGGATTTCCGACTGTTCATCTCGACCGACATATCTGCAATTCTTTCAATAAATTCTATTAATTTTTCTATTAATTTGAAACATAATATTTTTGATGAGTAATTAATGTGTGTATAAAATAATATGTCGTTATTTGTTTTTTTAATACATATAGGTACCTATAATATGATTGCATAATAATTTTTATATTTTTTTGCTCTTTCCCTGATTTGCTTCATGAAATTATGGCTACCTTACGGCCAAACGCATAGTACTTACTCTCTCGGACCTCGTACACTAGTTTCTCTCTCTAAGCACTTGTCAATTAGTTTATAGGTCTACGATGTGCAGCACCCGGCGTGGCGTCATAGCCACAATCACAATAGTAGTAGACAGTAGTATACTAGTAGGTATATAATGTATCTTGAATAAATAATAATTTAAGTTGATTCTACAACTTAGTAATTACCAAGTTGTAGCCACTAGGCACTAGCCAGTTGTATGTTTGTAAGACAATAAACAGTATTCAAGATCATTCATGCATAGTTCACACATGATACACCCGGGATTTAAATATCATTAAATTTTGTTTCATTCTGACAGAAATTTGAATACGAGTTAGAACTCACAGACGACTACTTTGAGCAGTTATAATGTCAAGCCATATTGCCATAACTATTCTATTAGTTGTTATGCCATAGTTATTGGCTTCCAAAACGTGTGTTTACATTGTAATTACTAAATATAAATAGGTATATAATTATTTAGTTCATCGTTTTATAATAATAACTTGCTGGTTTGTGCAATGAAATATTTTGAACAGCATAAATAGTCAAATTTGTATATCCGGTGGATATAAGGCACCGTTCGTCGTCGTCTCGTTATTTGTTTCATTAATAATTATAAATATAAAAAAAAATTAAAATTAATTAAATAAATGTTAAAATACTGTTGCCATGTCCCTCACAAGCCAAATGGGTCCATCAAGCCGACAGTTTCTTGCTCCGTTTTCTAGAGGATTAACATTTTCCAAGTCAGAGTCGTTTTCGATGTTAAGATTTTCGGCTGGTAAATCTGCAAGTCTAAGTCGACCTTTATTATTTTTCCTCGACCCTCTTAATAAGCATTCGTCGGATCACTATTCCGAGTCCTCCAAATTTAGTATGATTTTCAACATTCTGACAGGTACACGATGACACAAGTTCCAGTCACACACTGTATGATCTGATCTACCGGTTAAAGTCACAATTGTATTCTGTTTTATACTTCGACACCAATAATAGACCAGTTCAAGTTGTGCACCGATGCTCAATACACTATTGTTACGGCCATTTTTGTCAATGTACGTCCAAAAACTATTGTTCTTTCTAATACATAGGTAATTAGTATTATATCTGAAATATGAAATAACACCTACGTTTCTTACCTTATACTTTGAGTTGTTCGACACCCTTTCTTTTTAAACCTCAAAAATTTCCTTTCTTTCCCGAGATCTTTATTCATGTAATACCTACTTCATTTCACTATCACATTTATTGCACAGTTTATTTTCTACATTTACTAAAAGATTTTTCACAATTAAAATATTTGTAACTGATTCTTCGTTTTGTATAATTTTGTAAAATTCTTTCGAACGTGAATCATTTGTGTGAATAAGTGTGGACTCAAGTATTGTGAAGAAGGAAAAGAGATTCCTAATCTTTATTACCACGATAATAAATACATAAATTGCATAGTAGAGGGCATATAACAAGTGTCCCGTAATTGCAGGTAAACCGCAATCTGGGGTAGAGCGCATACGACAGATAGCCGCAGTGGTGATTTTGTAAATGTAAGTTTCATTTTTTAAATAAAAATACTTCATTTACATAAATCAATATTTTGTATAACAATTCTTTATTATTTAGGGTGATGCCGTGATTGAACTGGGGTTATGAGTATATACGGAGCAGATACATTTTCAGATGAAAATTTTAAACTTAACCATGATACACCTGGACTTTTATCAATGATAAGTGTATATTGTAATTTTATATAAAATGTATAAATTATTTTTTATATTCTCCACAATAGGCAAACAGTGGTAATGATACCAACGGGTGTCAGTTTTGTATTACTTGTGCAAACTGCAACTTTTTGGATGGAAAACATGTGGTATTTAGCGATGTCATTGATGGGTTGTTGGTAATGAGAAAAATTGAAAATGTTCCTCCTACTTGTCCCAACAACAAACCAATAAAAAAATTGTAATATCACAATGTGGACAGTTATGAAAGTTATGAATTATATTTTTTTTTTATATATTTCATTAAGTTCATTTGTATGAATGCATATTAAATAAATATATTTCAAATTTATACTGTGAGAAATTTAGTAAATATTTTTGTAAAATTTAACAAAATTTATAAATTTATAAACCAAGTATTAAAAAGTTTGTAAGATAAGATAATTAATTTTTTTAAATAGGTACAATGGTTATCAATTGCATTGCAATGAGTATGAGAAAACTACATACACATTACACATAGTAAGAAAAACAATAGATTCATAAGATTATTATAGGTTCTAGATATTTATAATAAAAACAATTACAATAATTAATTCTTAAAATATTATTGTTTTTATTATTAACTGTTCAAGATTATTTTTTGTTTTTTAAAATTAAATCAACATAATTATTCATGCATTCCTTAACCTTATCTACAGATTCAGAAGTCCCATACTTTCCTTCCAACATCATCCACTTATTAAACAAACTTTTCATCTTTTTTGGTGCTAATTTTTGTATTGTTGCTCTTTCTAATGCATGTCTAAAATCATAAAAATTAATTTTCTATTATTATTAAACAAACTGTGATGGACATTTGAGGAATACTATCTTGGTTGGAATTATTAATGTGTTCTTACCTTGCCAAATCTATTCTGTTAGATTTTATCAGCATATCTACATATAAACTCCATACATCAATACGTGAAGGATAGGATGTTAGGACATGTTCAAAAAGTGTTTGTGCTTCTTCTGGCGATCCATCACTATTTTCCACCAAAGCAAATCGACTTATCATAGTGACATCTTTTAAATACAAAAAATTATAATAAAATTTAATTAAAATATTATTATAATATTGCACTGTGATATCAATATTGTAAACAATTTTTGTTCATTTTTAATATTTGCATTTTATTTATAAATAGGATTTGGATTTGAAGGCAAGTCTTTTTTTTTTTTTTTTTTTAAGAACAATTGAAAAACAAATTGTCTTAAATTTAATTTGAATGTACTTATCAAAATTCTAAGAAAAGTATTCTGCATTGGAATATGAAATTGAAATTGTATGTTGTCATTCAAAAAGTAAAAAAAATGTTTTGTAACGACTTAAACCATGTGAACATTTTAATATTATCTCATTTTTATTCGAGAACTGAACTTCCTTAAGACGAGGTCAAAGTTTCTTAAGTGGTGATGGATGGTTAAAATGACCAATGAGTGATAATTTAGTATAAACTATAGTACAAATTTTAGTAACAACTACAACTGGTAGTAGTAGTTACAATTAAGAGGACGTGCTACACGCTTGTGTTGTCTCTGTCATACAAGTGGGTAATATAGGAAATTGTACGCTCAGCCAAACACGTGTAGCTTTGTTAGTTTAAAAATTAGAGTGAATTGACCTCTTATAAAATCTTAAGGTTAGATTATTATCTAGAGAACCTTATGTACTTTTTGTTATATTTTAATTTTTAAGCGAGCTATGATTATTTTAAAATTGTAAATTGTTTATAGATCTTAAAGTACTCAAAACTAGCTTAAAAATTAAAATATAATAAAAAGCAAATGAGGTTGCTTAGACAATAATATTACCCTTAGATTTTATAATAGTCATTTCACTTTAATTTTTAAATTAATGGAGCTACACGTGTTCTGCTGAGAGTAAAATTTGCTATGTTACGCACTTGTAAGACGTAGGCTACACATGCAGGGATCACATCCTCATAATATGATGATTAATGTCTTTATCAGGCTATTGGTGCTGCGGGGTGGGTGAAATACTGGAATGGCCTTTGATAAAACTTCAAGTTCACTTCTGTTCCTTACCCACTAAAACACATTTTGTAAGTGTTTTTTGTTTTTATTTATTATAGGATTTTGTAATTTAAGAATTTTACTATATTACTATTTAATATATAAGTTAACATACGTAATTTGGTTGGGAGATTTGATAATGCTTTTTGTAAAATAAATCTTGCTTTGCCAGATTTATTTAGTTTGAAGTACACAGTAGCACAATGTAGATAAGCATCAAGAGAATCACGAAACTTTCTATTTATTTTTGTAATCAATTCTTCTAGTTCCTAAATGAAACAAAATCAATCAAAATAAAGTTTAGTATAGAGCTAGGTACTTGTTTGTTATTTCCTTGCCCCTGAGCTGTACACAATTTATCGCCACCGGACTTTACCTAATCTAAAATTTCGATATTTCTCTGTATTTCTATATCTTACTTTTAAGTCAGTATGTGATCTACTTATGGAAAAGGGTAAATACTACTTATATTATTTGAAATTCAATTTTATTATATTTTAATGACTTTAGTATGTAGCCTACTTGTGGTTGTACTGTAGGTATGTATAACTTAAAGTCTGTACATATATTATAAACATTATTAGCTTATTATAGAATATTGTAAAAATTGATTTCAATGAGGTACTTAAGATATTTCCTGCAATATTCATTACTAGAATTTAATTTTTATAACAAAAATATATTGTTAAAACAACAAAAAATTTCAGACATTCAAGTATCTATATAAAACTGTTTAATTTGCTTACATGTAATTATGAGATATTAAAAAATAATTAACTATTAAACTATTAATTGAAAACAATTTATTATTATTATTTACTTTAAGTTCTGTAGCGGTATATAAAACATATCATAGTAATATAGACTGACCATTGGTCGGAGTATTTTTTTTTACATGAGCAAAGTGGCTTGGGAATAACAAGAAGTACCAAGAAGAATTGTTATTAATTATTAACAATCTGTACTTTTAATTTATTAGATTCTGCAAATATATCCAATATTTTTATATAAATCTGATATTCATCATTTGAACGTAATGCTTCATCCATTGTTTGTTTAAATGATTCCTAAAATATAATAGATATTATTTTATTTTGCTTTTAACTATTAATATGATAATACATAAAGAAAAAATTAACATAAAATTTATTTTCAAAGCGCAGAAGTCAAATGAGGACCATATCTACGAACGTGTACCCAATTTTCTCTCCAATATGTAGCAGTTATAAATATTATAAATTCTGAATATTTAATAACCAATTCACACAATTCAGTTAAAAGTAATGCAATTTTTAAATAAACCAAATTTTTAATATTTTTACCTTAGTGCCATATAAATTTTCTAAATTTAAAAGTGCAGTCCAAATATTTAGTTTTTCTTGCTCTTCTCTAGTATCAATTATAGACAATGCTCTTTTTGCTGTTGCCCTTGCTTTTTCAACTTCTGTAGCCTATAAATTAAAATAATAATATGTTTAATCACAATGCACATTTTCACAATTATTTTAATTAAGCAGGGACTCACCTAAGAAAAATTGTAATGAGGTTTTATAATAATTTTACAAGTGTAAATCATAAGCTATAGGCTACAAAGATACATTCAATAGCTAATAAGTAATGTTTAATGTTTAAACATTGTAAAATAACATTTACTATGGTTAAAAGTCAAAAGTATAGCTCCATAGAATAAATTAAAAGTTTTAATTAACTATTTTAAAATGAAATTAATAATTACTTGTAAATGGCATGCCATGTATTTAATCCAAATAAACGAGCTGTTGGGATTAGACAACACTAATCGGTCAAAGTGATCAGCATTTTGTGGATTTGTTTCAATTTGAGTTAATTCTTCTTCGACTTTTCTAAGTCTTAGTTCTTCTTGTTTTTGTTCTTCAAGCTGTTGAGTCTTATTTAACTTTCGCATTTTTTTCTTATTCGGTTCATTGTCCTCATCCTAAAATTGAATATAAATGTTGTAAGAATGTTACAGAGCAGTGGTGTCATTTGGAGGAGGACGGCAACTGGGGCATTTGCCCCATTCTAGTATTTACATCAACCTTAAGTCGGCCCATTTACCACACGCCCCTCCCCCCGTTTACCACTATGGCACAAGCCACAATCCTATGAGAATCTGAGTGAAAAAAATGTTGGGTCGGAAAAGTAGTGAAAAATTGCCATAATCTTATAAAAATTGAAATGACACCACGGTTACAAAGTGAATGAAATTATATGGTGTTAATGAAAAATGTAGAACTCCCGATCCATAAAAAAAGAAAGTCTATTTCTAAATGATAATTTCTAATTTCTGTTGATAAAATTAATAAAATCTAATTTTTTGTGTCTTACTTTGTCAGAATCCTCCGATTCACTGTTATTTTTATTGAAATAATTAGGAGTGACATCCCATTCAAATCCAAACCCCTCGTTCGTCAAAATTGGTCTCTTCTGCATAGTTTTTTTGCTCATTTTTACATAGATGTAATTTGTTGATTTTTAAAAAACGTGTTCAGACTTCAGTCTGTGGTCTGTACTCGGTTGTTATTGACATCCAGTCATAGATAGGTGATAATGATAACAGTTTAACCATTTATTTTTATTTTTTATAGAGTTCTTTAGGTAGATAAGAAATGTTGTCGAGGTTTGGCAAGTTACCACGGTTATGGCATAGAACAGTATGGTTATGGTCAAGTTCTCCCCAAATACCAATATGGGGACAAAAGTACATTATTTGAGTTAATGACATGAGTACATGACAAAATAAATGTATTTTGTCTTGGTTAATAATAATTTTTATATTTTACTACCTGATCCCGCGCACTTTGTTGCTCTTAAAAATTGTTATTGTTCAACTCCTTTTGGGTGTAACTCGTTGCAGTAAGTGCAACTCTGACATCCTGCCATCCTATTAAGCAATCCGACTATGTCGGATCGCGGACAATATGCGACAGCATATTATCAAGTAAGCAACAACACGCCGATGTGAGCAGCTATTAGAAATGGATGGTATTAAAATTGAATTCAATGATATAATATTGTATAAGAAAGAGCGGAGACGATATGTCAGTCTAGACCACGGACTAAGATATATTCATGAACATTAGAGGATCCTCTAATGTTCATGGATATATTATATGTATACTTATCAACTTATCTATGGTATTAAAAAAAATTGAACTATAATAAGCATAGATATTAATTTAATATTTAATATCTATGATAATAAGAACCTACCTATAATAAATTCCAAATTAATCAAATCACAATATCCATTAGGTAGGTACTTATAAAACGTTATATACATCAATAACACACCGTGATACTATCATAGATTTATAATAGTGTACTTTAGAAGTTTCAAGTACCCACGAATAATATTATACAATCACAACAAAATAATTAAAATTGTTGTTTTAGGTTTTTTATTATGTAATTTCGTCCAAATTTAAACTTAAAATTAAAAACACGAGAAATCGAGTGAATATCTAATGTTGTAAAAATTTGACTTTCTTACAGACAATTTTTTTTTTTTTGATAAAGGTAGACAAACTTAAGAGGAAGCTTGTATTACATTTTCACATCTTAGGTTTAAGAAGAAAAATTTTAACGAATTCTTAACTCAAAATAATTTGCTAATTTTCGTGATTTTTCCATATTTTGTCAATTTTTGAACTTTAAATGCTTATAAAAAAAAACTGTGACAAAGGATTTTTTAATATTTTTCATCTGCCTTTGAAACAATATAGTAGGAGTTTTGTATTAAATTTTCAAGCTTTTTTAACCAACTAATAATTTTTTATTGATATTCATAAAAAAAAAAACTAAGAAAATTGGAAACTGAAAATGTCCCTAAACAGTTCAAAATAAATCAAAATATTTTGAAAATGTTATCGTGTATAGAAAATGCAAATATAAACAACCAGTGTTAATTTCATGTATCTACATTTAAAGTTACACCAAAAACCAAATTCAATTTTCTGAAAAATCGATTTTGCGTAAAAATTCCCGTTTTTCCTTAATTTTTCTTTTGTTTTTCTTTTCGCTTTTGAAAAGTACTGGGAATTTTAAATTTCGAACTCCCCAATGCACCAACGATATTCACTTTCCAATTGAACAAGATACTGAAGTCGAAAATCGAAGCATTATTTCGACTACTTATCGTGTACACAGACACAAAAAAAAATAAATAAACACACATCATTGTAAAATCAATACATTCATCGTTTCACTCAGAATCTAAAATTAAAAATCCATTGTCACAATTTTGTTTTACAAGCATTTAAAGTTCAAATATTGACAAAATACGTAAAAATGACGAAAAGTTTCAAATTATTTTGAGTTAGAAATTCAAAAAAAATGTTCTTTTAAATCTAAGATTTGAAAATGTAATACAAGATTCCTCATTTCCTCATACATTTGTCTACGTTTATCAAAAAAAAATACGTAAAATTTTTACAAGAAACTCAAATTCAATTTTTATGAGCGTTTAAAATTCATATTTTTACAACATTTGATATTCACTCGTTTTTATCATGTCACGATTTTCTTATTTTGTTGTAATTAAAAAACAAATGACTGTAGAGTGTAGATACTTGAAAATTTCACTCAATGTCTGAATGTTTATATTAGCATTTTCTATAGGTACACGATTAAATTTTGAAAATAATTTGACTCTTAAACTCTTTTTAAGTAGTTCACGGACATTGGCAGTTTTCAATTATTTTAGTTTTTTTTTCTATAAACATCAATAAAATTTTATTGGTTGGGTAAAAAAGAGAGAAAATTTAATGCGAGGCTCCTGGTATATTGTTATAATAGCAATTGAAAAATATTAAATTACAAAGCCACAATTTTTTTTTATAAGCATTTAAAGTCGAATTTTGACAAAATTTATCAAATTTTAAATGTAATAATTATTTTGTAGTTAAAAATGTATGAAATGTTCAACTTTCATTGCTTAGGATTGAAAATTTAAAACAAGGTTCCACGTAAATAGGTTATATATAAATCACTTTATTCACAACATAGGCAGACTAAAATTTCTTGTCAAGCTTAGACAAATTATAGTACCCTAATATTTGGACAGGGCCCTTATTTTTTTTTTTAACACACCAACATACATGTTGATGTAATGATGTATTAACCTATTAATGTCCATAGTACTATAGTTATTGTATTTGTATAAAGGTATGTTTTTTTTAGATTAATAAAATGTATTTAGTGGCTAGGTACACAGTACACACAAATATTTTTGATTTTTTTATACTTTCACGACAAACAAAATTTTCATGATCTCCACGAATATATTATTATAATAAAATACTTAAATATATACGCACATTTTACTATGCCCCTAAAAAATTTATGTTTATTAATTGACTAAATTTTGTTCACTAACATTTTTTATGTAATTTCTTAAGGCATTAAAGCCCTTTTTTTTTTGTAATTTTTGGTACTTTTGAAGGCCATCAACATCCCATCCCTAATAAGTCTATTATAACTTTTATTTTCATTTCACTTCCAACTTACCTATAGAAGTGCGATCGTTTGCAATATAACAATGGCTTAGCTGTAGGCATAAGCAGTAGATAACATGTTATATATGTTGTACTATTTATAATATATTATTAACTATAAGCACGGACGTACGTCCGCATAAGCGCAATTTCGACTTGTGGGGGGGGGGGGCTGAATGGCAAGCAGACCTTGCAATATAGCATTTAAAAAATGTATGTCCTAGGTTTTTTTTTGGAGGGGGGACTACGTCTAATTTTAGAGGGGCTAAGCCCCCCCCCCAATTTGCGTCTATGAGACTATTGGCGTTCATATATGAACAGATAAGTCGTTCGATTTAATTAAACTCTATTTATAGTAATACACTTTTACATTATATTATTAAACCATAAATTATACCTACAAGTCTAAATATTTTGATAATGTTATCGTGTATTACATTCAGTGAACATTTCATGTATCTACAATGCCCTACGGTCATTTGTTTAAGAGTTACACCAAAAACCAAAATGGATTTTGTCAAAAACCTATTTTGCGTAAAAATGTTCGGTTTTCCTTAATTTTCATTTTGTTTTGCTCACTGATTTTGAAAACTATTGGGAATCCTTATTTTTACCTCTTGAATGAACCAATTAGATTCATTTTCCAAGATACTGTTGAAGAAAATCGAAGCAGTTTTACTGCCCCAAACGGTGATGATACAAAAAAGAAATAACACACATCATTGTAAAATGTATTGCATTTGTTGTTCCGCTCAGAATCTAAAATTATTATAGAAGTTTGAAGAAGAAAAATATTCATCAATAAGTACGTAATACCTGCACATGATAATAATAAATGAAAACCCTGTATAAATAATTATAATTAATCACCAATTACTCAGTATTTAAGATTCATTATTATACATTTCATCTGTTTTTGACTTTTATACATGTATAATAGTTAAGAAATATAGTCGGCAACAACATTGGTTTTCATCAGGCAACACCTGTTTTTGACTCCCACCAAGTGAATTATCTGTATACCTGCCAGGTAGTATTACAGCATTTCTGAGCAAAAGTTGGCTGCCAACTACATTTATTAACTTGAACAGAGTATACACTGGTGAATAATATCTAAGATTAACACCTTCGGCACTATTTAATAATTTTTGTACCAAGTTTCAATATTTTAATCTTATTCCTTAACTTAACCTAAATGAACAGAGTGAATTAATTTATAAATTATTACACGCTTAAATAAAATAAATAAAGGGTCATTATTAATTCATTGCACACTTTTCAGTATTACATTAAATATCAAAAAATAAAAAGACTAAATAGTTTTGTATTTTTTTTTTATTATTCACATTTTTAAATAGAATAAAGTCATAACTTTAGTTACCCTAGAAATTCCTGAAAAAAAAACCAGACAATTCATAGTTAGTTTTTATTCAAATAGGATAAACAGTATTTACTTACTTAGCTACAATTCCGTGTTCTTTTGCTAACCTCGTTATGCAGTCATCTGACTCTCCCTAAAAAGGTAAATCTATGAATTAGTATGAGATAAAAACTTTATTGCTGAATTATGTATATCCCTTTAAATATACTGAAAATAATTATTATTTAGAATCTTCAAAACTGATTGAAGTCTGTTTTACTGATTTAACAGCAAAGAGAGTTATTTATTTACCCAAATCCCTAACAGAAGAAGTTTGGGAATTTTACTTATGTAATTTTACATGTCTGCTGTGAAATTATCTTTTATTTCATTACATCAACAACGTAAGAAATGAGATTTTTAGAAATACTGTAATATGGCTCATATACATATTTAGTTAAATATATTCCACGACACTGACAAAAATGACAACCTTCTAACCCCGAACGCTGGCTGAATTATAATAAGTTGAAAGATTATATGGAATGGACTTAATCAAAGAATATGCGTCATACATGGCAAATGTTCAATACAAATTAAGTTAAAAAAACACAAATTAAATTAAAAGCTATAAGGTAATTTATTGTAAAAGTTTATTAATAAGTTAGTCTTGGAAAGTAACATTTGTCTATATGAATAAGTATAGTATATATTTTCAAATCAACTGATGAATTATTAAAGTTGCTGCTAAATGTTTAAATTTAATTATTAGTTAGCATCACAAAACAAATTTTATCATAGATGTGCCAATAAATAGATACACTTTTTATATCAATTCAAAATAGATATTTACATAAAAGCATATTATATATTATTGTTAAATATTATTATATTATATATGTTGTGCATACTAACCATACGACGAATAGCTCCACTAATGGTCAAGATTTTGTGATTTCCGGTTATGCGACCAGTGGCCGAGTCGATTTCGGCTAAATTGATCTGAATAGAAGCATGATCTTTAGCAGAGATGATACGGTTGCTGGCAGAGCTATTAACAAAGTTACAACAATTTTTTTGAGTAAAACACGAACACTGAAAAATGACATGTGGCTCAAGAAACGTCTTGACATTTTTGATGTCACGATTACAAACAAATTTTTCGTCATCGGACAAACGCTCACCATTTCCTCGGGCAGTACAAGTCAACAAATTCTCCGGCGTCGTTTTGCATTTTGAATTCTGTTTCTGACAGTGGTTATTTTCAGGTTCAACGAGGAAATCCTTTCTAGAAGGCGAAGTGAAAAGACAAGATATTCCAATGTGCATTCATTAATAAGTGATAACTAACCTAACCTGAAAGTCATGACAAGATCTATTTTGTTATGGTAACCAGTGTTGCCAACACATGTCAGCAAAAAATGGTGAAACACATGAAAAAAAAATGTGTACATCATGTATACTAAACAGAAATTAATTTTTTAAAAAAAGGTTCATAATATTATACACTTGTCACTTTGTATTGATATTTGATACAATTTGAAAGTATTATTAAATATAATTGTAAATTAAAAGCAAAAAACAATTAAGTAATAACTAATTTGGCAGACTTCTTTTTCTTTGAATTAATTATTTGATGGTTCTAATTTTCAATATTAGATTATTGTCGCATTCTTGTTGTAATATAATACTTGAGAAATGAGAATGAACATTACAATTTCGTTTTTATGTTCACTACAAGAAAATATTAATAATCTGGCACTCTTATCTAGAAGTCAGAACATCATCAGAAGTGTCCTCAAATACTGATGAAATGGCTACAAACATTAGTCGATAAAAATGTTGATTATAGGATGAATTCCACTGGAGTATATCTTAGTCCGTGCTATAAACTGTTAACTGTCAGGATTAAACAATAATAATATAATGAAAAATTAACTTTTATTCAAACACTTTACTACAAATCACCTTATATCAGAACGGTACAATTTTGGCGGGCACAGGTGACAGGTCGCCTGAGCCGCACAACACCAACTGGTTTACTCTCACTAGGTAACGATATCTGCAGCACAAGCAATAACAACAGTACCGCTCCTAGTGAGAGTTTACATTCGACCATCCTGATGTAGTCTGTCGCCCTCGACAGAGAACCTTACAACACTAAGTACAAGGGTACAACAGTCCTTAACGAACATACAAAAATACAAATTAACAAATAAATAAATCTCTTAGAGAACATAAATTGACAGAAACAGTCTTTGACTCATAATTAAAGATTAATGGTTAAAATACATTATGTAAACAAAAGGAAAAGAAAGGTTTACAATAGCAACCATTAATAAGTTAGCTCATTTACAATAATTAAACATTTTTTTTTTTTTTTAAATAAATACATCATGAGCGTTTAAATAAACACACAATTTTAGCTCATATTAACAATTAATTAGTTGAATATAGGAACATTATCATAGGAACAGTATTGGTTAGGAACAAGTATCATAATCTTTAAGCCAGACGGGTGGATGAGGTTCACGGCGTGGTCTACCTTCCTTCTGAACAACATCGGACCCAGATCTATCAGCATCCTGGTTTGACATTTCTGGAGTAGTGGCAGCGTCTCCAGGGACATTGGCCTCAGCCGCAAGCCTGCCCTCTTCTTCAGCATCAATCAACTTCCAGGATTTCAACTGAGCGACATGAGCTGTGGTAGCAAACCTACTTGGTCGACCACTGTACAAATCAGTAACTCTATAGACGTCTCCAGGAAGTACCTCTGAAACCACTAACGGTCCCCTGTAGCGGTTTTGTAATTTGGTGGATTCTCCTGTAGAGTTGGGAGCCCTCTTCATCACGACCACCTCTCCCACTTGGTAATGAGTATTATCATGCCATCGAGCATCATATGCTATTTTCATTTTTCTTTTGGAAACTTCCATAGCTTGGTGGGCTCCAATGCGCAATCCTTCTGGCGGTGTCCAATCATCAACAGTAGTGGATAGCCCGCGCAGAGCTCCCAAGTGGAACTGCGGCCTATAGCCGTGTAACATTTCAAACGGTGTTCTTGTTGTAGTCTTACTTTCACTGTTGTTTATGACTCTCTGGACGTCAGGGAGTAACTCAGACCAACCAAAAACCCACGAAACCCAAAAACTCCACTTGAGCCGTACCAAACTGGCACTTTGACGGCTTTAACGTCAATTTAGCGTCCCTAAGTCGATCGAGCATCAATCTTAGTTTTCTCAGCATGTCAGTCCAGTCACGACCTTCGATTATCATGTCGTCCAAGTAGTTTCGAACTATTTTGCCCTGGAGGGGCCCGAGAACTCGCTGCATCAAACGGGTGAACTCAGCCACTGCTCCGGAGAGACCAAAAGGCATACGGGTGAATTCACCAGTTGTATCAGAGGTGATGAAAGCAGTTTTTTCCGAGGCCTCCGGAGACAGTGGTATCTGCAGATAACCACTAGCGAGGTCGAGCTGCGTGAACATACGGCCTTCCGCGAGAGACTCCAGCTGCTCATGCATATCAGGAAGGGGGTAGTGCTGTCTCACCGTTTGTTTGTTCAGTCTCCGGAAATCTATACAAAGTCGATTTTTCCCTCCGGCTTGCTTCACCAAAAGCACCGGACTGGCGTACGGAGAAACGGTATCGCGAACCACACCATGCAACTTCCAATCAGCCATTATCTTAGCTATCTCTTCTCTATCAGACGGGGTGGTCTTGTACGGACGACACACCACGGGTCGACTGCCTGGGACCTCATTGATATCTACAGTAATCAAAGGCGTACAGCCTAGCTCACCTAGGTCCTTAGCGAAGCATTCACGGTATTCGTTCACGAGTTCGATCAGCCCTTCACGTTCAACAGCAGTTGCATCGAGTTTAACATACCCAAAATCAGCCTCCAATGTGAGAGTTTACAAAACTTAGTTTTTATGTCTATGACATTGTCATTACTCTTTAATTTATTTATCTCTAATTTTTAATTTTAAATCGCGAACTGCTTCACCACCTTTATCAAACCAGTCACTTACTCGCGTTACCGAAATATCGACTAGACATATTATATAACCACAGAATAGAATAATACGTTATAACGGTGACTAAACAGCAAGCTAAAAGTCCTTACGGGCACAGGCAGTTGTCAAAAATCACAATTTGATAATGATAATTCCAAGCAGATGGCAGGACGTGTTCAATTAATAGTTTCACGTCGGACGTGAAAATAGTCACTGCTTTGTGAATGCAATGCAAAGCAAATAAGGTTTAGGGTAAAATTATTGTTTATTTGTTTTGACAGCCAAATAGCCTCAAGATTTCGAGTGGCAATGTTGCATACAGTTTAAGCATGCTTGTACATGCAGGTTTGACGTTTGATTTTTATTTTTGATTATATATATTTAAATATTCTACAGTATAATCTAGGAAAGTGTTTTTCATTTTTTTTTTGTCAGTACGTCCCCTAAATTTAATGTAAAACTGTCAAGGCCCCAGGCCTCTTTAATCAAATCATATAATTTTTTCTTAAATATATAGCTACTAAAAGTCTAAAATTACATATACTATTTGTCTATTTCACACAGATAAATTATTAAAATTATATTATATTAATGTTTTTAGTATACTTTTGAAAAAAACGTTTATTAGAACATCATTATGCAATATACAATTTTGAATTTTATTCCTTAAATCATAATCATAGACAATACATTGTCTATGCTATGATCATAATATCATAATATATTTTTTTCAAATTTCTATGGCTTTGGCCTTTGGTGTACTCATGGCTAAATGCTGTACTATAGTGTTCATTTAGCGTCCTTCATAGGTCATATAGCGCTCCTGGTGGTGATGACTGTCTTGTGGTGAAATTTTATCATAGAACAGTATTTTATCAAGTTATCAAACAAGTGACGACACCTTATCAATACACCTTGATTCTTTAGTATCTATGTTCTTCAATGTCAAATCTTTTACGAAATCAATATTCGGTTAGTGCTTAGCACAACTTTTAATTTCTTTTATAGGTACGTTAGTTACGTATAGTTGGATCATCCCGTCAAAAAATTTCTGTTGAAACACTGACGTTGAATTTTATCCGGAATGGCGACTTCGTTGTTCCGTTCCGCCCTTAAAGGCGGATTACATAAAAATTATCTTAGAAAAACATTATGTGCTTCATTCAATCTAGAAAAGATATTATGTATCCACACATCATCGCTTTTGAATGGTAATAAAACTTTCATTTAACCTTTTAGTCAACCTTCTATAGTCTAAAATGTTTGTACAACTTATCAATCATCATATTATTTACTTAGTAAAAGGTCAAGAAATTAACATGCCATCTCTGTCCCCGACTATGACTGAAGGAAACATAGTCAAATGGTTAAAGAAAGAAGGAGACAAAATATCTGCAGGTGACGTACTATGTGAAATTCAAACTGATAAGGCTGTCATGGCTTTTGAAACGGAAGAAGAAGGAGTATTAGCTAAAATATTGGTAAGTTATTATTGAAATATTAATAATAAAATAATGTAGCATACGTACTTTATTGTAGGTTCCAGATGATGCTAAGGAAATTAAAGTGGGTGCTTTAATTGCACTCATGGTAGCCGAAGGAGAAGATTGGAAAAGTGTTGAAACACCTGATGCCAAAAGTGTTACACCCACTGCTTCAAATTCTCAAGAAGAAGAACCCCAAGAATCAGAACAAACTACTGGAGGAAATAGTACTGTTTTATATATACTTAAAATAAATCTAAATACATAATTTTTTGTTTTTGTTTTTTTTTTTAGCTCCGGGAATTGAATTAAACATGCCATCACTATCACCAACTATGTCTGAAGGCACAATCATTAAATGGCATAAGAAACCAGGAGATAAAGTTTCAGCTGGAGATGTCCTTTGTGACATTCAAACAGACAAAGCAGTTATGTCATTTGAAACTGAAGAAGAAGGAACATTAGCAAAAATTTTGGTATACTTCAATAAAAAGATTTTTCATTGAAAATCTGTTGTTAGTTATAAATCATTTTTTAGTTGGGTGACGACAGTAAAGACGTAAAAGTTGGTGATCTGATTGCACTAATGGTTGCTGAAGGGGAGGACTGGAATGATGTCCAAGTGCCTGGAAAGAAAAAAACTAAATCATCAGTTCCAAAAGAAGACGTTCAGAAACCTAAGGTTGAAGCTCACACATCATCGGAACCTACCACTAGACATTCATAGTAAATATTGAATACTATTATTTATTTAATATGAACTTGGTATCAACTTTAAATTGTATTGTAGCGATGGTTATAGTCCAGCTGTGAGGTCACTTCTAGAATTATATGCTATTGATGGTTCTAAAATTGTAGGAACTGGAAAACAAGGAAAAATCTTAAAGGGTGATGTTTTAAAGTATGTCACTGAAAACCATTTGTCTATCAAGCCTCCTAGAACAGGTTAGTAGTTTAATTAACCTAAAATATACCATGTGTATCAAATATTAAATTTGTTATTAGTACCTTTACCGGGAGAAACATCCTCACCTAAAACTGTCACACCGACAACTGTATCAAGACCTACCAAAGGACCTGGTTATGTTGACATTCCATTAACTGGCATGCGATTAACAATTGCTAAACGATTAACTGAATCTAAAGTAAACATAATATATGGTTTAACTAATAACTATGTATATTGTGTAATTCAATGTTTGATATTTTTAGACAATGATTCCTCATGCTTATGCTACAGCCGAGAGCAATATTGATTCACTATTAGGACTCCGCAAGCAATTAAAATCAGCTGGAATTAGTGTTTCTGTAAATGATTTTATCATTAAAGCAGTTGCTGTTGCTCTTAAACAGTGTCCTCTAGTCAATTGTCACTTTGTTAAAGATCAAGTAATTTATTAAAATTATAATTCATCAAAAAACATGTTTTATTTACAATGGTTATTTTACTATTATTTACAGGTAATTTTACAGGAAACATCAGATATTTCTATAGCAGTTGCTACCGAAGCAGGTCTGATCACTCCTATTGTGACTAACGCTGATAACAAAGCATTAGATGAGATTTCAGCTGAAATTAAAGAATTGGCGGGACGTGCACGAATTGGTAAACTGCAACTTCATGAATTCCAAGGAGGCAGCTTCACGTATGTTAATGATTAAAAAAATACTTAAGGGGAAGTTACAATGACATTTGTTGTCTCCGTATTACAAGTGTGTAACATAGCAAATTTTATGCTGAGCAGAACATGTTTATCTCAGTTAGTTTAAAAATTAGAACAAGTTGAGCTCTTAAAATATTTAAAGGTATGATTATTATCTAGATTATTACATAGGCTTTTTATTATATTTTAATTTAAAGCGATTTATGAGTATTTTAATATGTACAAACAGTTTACAATTTTAAAATACACATAACTCGCTTTCAAATTGAAATATAATAAAAAGCCTATGTCATCATATAGATATTGTCTTACCTTCAAATTTTATAAGTGCTCAATTCTCTCTAATTTTTAAACTATTGGAGATAAATGCGTTCTGCTGAGCATAAAAGTTGCTATGTTAGCACTTGTAAGACAGAGACAACAAATTTCACTATAACATCTCCTTAAAAGTTAATACACTATATTAATAATTATTTGATTTACTTTTTTTTTCAATAGAATATCCAACCTTGGAATGTTTGATATATCTGAATTCAGTGCTATTATAAATCCTCCACAATGTGGTATATTGGCTATTGGAAGTGGACGTTCTGTCATTGGTAATTAAATATTTAATTATTCATAAATAATGTTATGTTAATTTAATTATTAAATTATATTGCAGCAATAAATGGTAAACCACAGACAATTATGACGGCCACATTATCTTACGACTCACGCGCTATAAGTGAATCTGCTGCATCAAATTTCTTAGAAACTCTACAAGGTTTATTACAAACGCCAGCATCGCTTCTTTTGACATCACCAGCAAACAAAAAACGTGCTTCAAATTAAATTTATCAAAATTTCCCAATTAAATGTTCTTGTTAAGTTTTTTTT